CGAGGCGGGGCGGAAGTCGCAGGGACCATTCCCAGGACCCCCAGGTGCGAGGAGGCGGCTGCAGGACCGCGAGCGGGGCTGAGCCTTCGGCGGGTGCGGGTCCTCGGGGGACCCAGCGGGGACGGGTCCTGCCACCCCGCGTCCCCGGGCGGAGCACGGGCGGAGGCGCAGGAGCACTGCTGGAGGGAACCTCGCTGCGGGGCGGCTCCGTTCCGAAAGGCGGTGTGGATGGAGGAGGCGGTTGGCGGAGAGTGGCATTTGGATGAACTTGGCGAAGGCGCAGAGATCAGTTTCTAACGTGCAAACGCACACGTGGTCCAGGCCCTCTGGCCGCTCAGAATGGAGACCAAGCCGGGCGCCATGCGTTTTAACACACGCGCCAGGAAAGCTGGAGGAGAGGGTCTTGGAAAGCCCCGAGGACACACGGAGACCTCGTGGTGGGGGCATCTGTAAGCTGAGGGATGGCCGCGGGGCCAGCCGGTTCTTATTTCAGGGTCGTGGTTGACGCCGATGGGTAGCGGTCCTAGTAGTGCAATTACTATTCCCACTTGAAAATAAGGATAACGTCTCACTACCCTTTTAGAAATTAGGATAAAATGGCCCGGCCGGTGTTGCTCAGTGGGTGGAGCGTCAACCTGTGAACCTGGAGGTCACGGTTCCATTCCCTGTCGGGGCACATGCCCGGGTTGGGGGTCGATCCCCAGTGTGAGGCGTGCAGGAAGCAGCCGATCAATGATTCTCGCTCACCATGGATGTTTCTCTCTCTGCCTCTCCTTACCTCTCTGAAGTCAATAAAAACATTAAAAAATATTGCTTGGCCACTGAAAAGGGCAAGAAATGCTCTAAGGTGTGTTTGGGGAAGGAAGAAGCAAAGCACTGAGATATGAATAGATTAATAGTAAAAAAAAAATACGACAGCAAAGCAAGGGAAGGTTGGGTGTTCATTCTGAGATGACAAGCAGATCCTCAAATCCTGCCCCCGGGGAAGGACATAAAAGGCCCTTGGTGGAGGTGTGGTTGCCCCCGAGCAGCAAAATCTGGCCCCAGTGAACTCATCGGTTTAGTGGCCAGCAGGTGTCAAGTTCAAAAGGGACTTCTTTTGATGGGAACTCGAGAGCAGCTGGGATTACCTCCAGGACAGTTCCACCTGTGGGTTCTTGTCCCCTGCAAGGGCGACAAGGGAGCTCGCGAGGACAGCAGCCCCGGGAGCAAACAAAAGCCTCTCCCCAGCCTGCGGCCCGGCCATAGAGTGAACGGACACATTTCCCAAACATGCGACTGGAAGCCAGGTTGAAGTACAGACTAAGTTTTTAATCCATATACTTAAATACCAGTCTGGGCGACAGCAAAATGAGAAGCCTATGGTACTCAAAAAAATACCCTTTTTTTTTTTTTTAATACAACCAAGACATTTTTTAATACACGCATGAAACCAATGAAAAGCTAGTCATCGTCTCCTGGGAAGCTAGACCTTGAATTGAAAGACTTTTCACGGTTTCCCGTTTTCTCTGTTCAGGACTTTCCTTTATCGTAATTCTTTCTTTCTTCCGGCCAGTCTACGGCTAAAATTAAAATTTACAATCAGATTTGCTGAGCCTGTCAGTGTAAGATTATTTCAGCTGTACCCCGCCCACACCATATACACATCACAGATTCATCATTGTGGTTCAAAATAACTGAATAGTCTAAAGTTTCTTTATTCCAAAAAAATAAATTATATAGCTTTTTTTTTTTAGGCTTTAGGTTATTTTCAATACAAAATGGTAGCATCACCCGTCCTGTCCACACCATAGGACTGCTCTGAAGAGGAAATAAGACAGCAGGGAGCCACCTGAAGGGGGCGCCCACGTCCTCTGTACACCCTGTGGACACGCAGACACACACACACCCACCCACCTCATAACAGTTCCAAGATTTGGGGGAAAGTTGTGAGGGGCGTTCTAGAAAGTTTGATGACCCCACATGAAAATGAGCGCACAAAAGGAAAAAAAAAAACAGGCCAAACATGCAAATCATTAAGAGCTTCCATTGAAATCACAAAAGTATATATACATGATCGGCAAGGTGAAGACTGACCAACCTATACATTTCTGCGTTTAATCAAAGAAGTTCTGCATTAAAAAACAAACAAACAAACGAACACAAAAGCTTCCAGATCAGTGATAGTTCCACTTCTGAGAATGATTCGGTCCAGTCGGAGAATTTCATTATTTCTAGCAATACGCCGTACAATCCAGCGGAGGGGTTCACTCCGTAGAGACGAGCACACGCCTGCATATTCCAGGCTTTTCCCTGCAGGCCCCGTGGAAGGTGATAACTAAGTTGCCAAAGGATCCTTCTTGCAATGTCTCAAATATATATTTTTATCTATAAGAAACATGTCCTATTAGCACCTTAGGCTCAAGTAAAAAAAAAAGTTTTTTGGCACAGAATTCTAGAGTCTCCCTAGACACCCTCCTGGGAATCCTCGTGTCCTTGCCAGAAAATTACGCCTCGGAAGCACACTGTGGAAATTCTGGCGTCATTTACATCTCTGAACGAGTCCTTTACCTGGAAATGGTTCAATAAATAGTCTGAGTTCATTAAATAACACCCCCTGGCGATTTCACAACGGGGTCTTTAGAGGAGGACTGGAAGTAGAATCTCACCAAATAACTGTCTCCGGTCAGCATGGCAGCCTGGGATGTACGAACGGTATGAAATGCGATCGGTGAGCCACGGGAATGCCGAGGAAGCGTGATTCCAAGCAGGCTGAGCAGTGCATAGAGCGGACCAAGGTGCGCCTCCAAGGGGCTGGTCCGGCCTGGAGACAGGCCACACCCGCCTCTCCTCACAGCTTAAATGAGATGCCAACACTTGTTTTTGGGAAACTAAATACATTTTAATAGAAAACAAAATACAAAATAACTCTTTTCAGAAAAAGAAAAAAAACCTCAGAAAGATTGAATCCTTTTTCCCACAAATCAGACTCGGCGTGTCCTCGGGTTTCGATGCGTGCATGGTACTTA